TGGGAAAATGAGTTGCCCCGGTAACAATGCTCCCCAAAAGCTGTTCTTACTGCTGCAAAAAAAGTGTTGGGTGTACTGTAGTTCATCCCAAAAATGGAAAGCACACTGATCTGGAGCCAGTAATAAAATACAGCTGAGTGAAATCTCATTGATCTCGTGTGGCAACCTTAAAACTAGGGCATCACTTGTATGTTTAGGTCACTCACCCATCAACTGAGGGATTCTCTAATGCATCCTGTCAACTGCTGTGCAGCCACAGCATCGCAGGGAACACAAAGGCATGTCTGCCCCCACTCATGATGCTTCCTGACTGCTTCTCTCAGTTTTAATTTCTCAGCTGGGTATTTGCTGTGAATTTCTCTCTTAAGCTGAAAAGCTCTGATATAAAAGGTCTGTTTTGCTCCCTTCAAGGCGAGTGACATTGAGAGATCCTTCACTGCTGCACCGAGAGATGTTATTATTCTGACACTGTCATTGTCAAACAGACTTGCAGACAGCCACAGAGGCATGCGCAAGCGGCCTCTCTCTCTCTCTCTCTCTCTCACACACACACACACTCACTCTATCCGTCAGCATCCACCATCTCTGCCCCCACAGATGTTGCCCAGTATTTAGGTCAGTTCGTTTGCAGATGGGTGGTCAGCAACGCTTGTATTAGCTTGGGTTTCCAGGAACTGATACAATAGGCCAGTCAGCTCTCAGCGGCCACCCCGGAGATGCCGGAAGTGCAGCTCTTTATAATCATAACGGACAGTGTTCGCTTACGGATACCAAATAACATTAAGGTCTGGCTAATGACTACAAGATTTAGACTGCTGTGAAAATCAAATGTACTGAAGAGCGCCTGTTCTGTAGCTTTGGAGATATGACGGATCACATGACCATGTACTACTTTCAGTATGTTACTACTCTCTGCTAATAGGTTTTCTAATTATTTAATGTTCTTAGATATTTGTCCATGAAACCTGATAATAGATTTTCTTTCAATATCCTAAGGGTTTTGTTCAAACTTCTGGTATGTGTTCAATGTTGTCATATTTTGTTTTTCAATATTCTAAGGTTTTTGTCCAGTATTCTCAAGTTTTTATTCATTACTCTCAGCTGTTAAATATTGTTAAATGATGTTGTGAAATATTTGTTAAATATATTAAAAATTCATTCAGCATTCTCAGGTTTTTGTTTCATTTTATTTGTTATCAAATTCTCATTCAACAGCCTCATTAATATTTAATATTCTCAGGTTTTCATTCAGTCAATATTCTCACATTTATCTTATATTTCTTAATATTTCATTCAGTATCCTCAGGGTTTTGTTAAATATTCTTAAGTTTTCATTTACAGTAATATTCTCTCTCTTTTTGTTCAATATTGTATGTTCTCAAATTGTGTGAAATGCTTGGGTTTTTGACAAGCTTTCATTCAATATTCACAAGTTTTTGTTCAATATTCTCAGAATCTCATTCAAAGTTTTCATTTAAAACCTTTCCTGAATGGTATACCGGTGACTTAGACAGTACGTTAAATTGTATTTTGAAAATGTTAAGACTTTAATTTACTTCTTGAGCTTTGCCAGACACACTTCCTGAGTATCTTCTCCTCCTTTACCAAGTCAGTCAGCCAAGGCTAGGACACAAATCCTTGGTGTAGCTTAGAAACAGGTTGGAAGTAAAGTTTCATAAATACCAACAATGCATAAAGAAGAGGACAGCCATTACTCTAAAGTACAAATTGTCTGTCTGTATTTGCTGGGGTGACTCTTTTGTAGTGTTAAACATCAAGAGCAGTTTGAGTGAAGGGGGGGAAATGAAAGAGACAGAAGGAGCCAAAGCTTCAAGGCATAATACTGTAATTGGAAAATTGTGCAAATGCGTTTTGGAGTCATGTTATATAAATGGCCAGCAGAGATAATGCCTGAGATTCGAGGCATGGCCTAATTGAGAGTAGGAGATGGAGGAGGAAAGGGGTGGCGATGCTGAGGGGCCGAATGGAGTGTGGGTTTTAAATTGGGTGAAGGAAATGTGGATGGAAATGGGATGTTTTCAAAAACGTGGGAGGGAAGGAGGCAGGCAGAGCGAGCTGTTTCTCTTTAAAGGGGAGTAGGGAAAGAAAGAAAGCGAATAATTCCCACTTTCTTCCCTGGTCTCCACACCTGTGGCCCAGCAGCCAGCCAGCCCAGCTATTTCTCCCCACAAGCATGTGTGCGTTTTATATGTGTGTAATTCTCTTTGGTTCTCTTACTCTCTGTATGATTGATGAGTCTCGGTCAGACCTGGATCCTTGCCATAGCCCAGGCCTGATCAGGCATGTTCTGGTCATAACAACGCCATCAATATGTGGCTGACGGCTGTGTGTGTGCATGTGTGCAACGAAACATAAAAATGAAGCATGCTATAACCCAAAAGAACCAAGATGCTTTGGCGTAATTTCCATTTCCTGCCGCTCTGAGGGATTAAAGAGGAACGTTGTTTAGATATACTTCCCCACATTGATTGGAATTTGAATCACATTAATTAGCCCTTTCATGAGCGATCCATATGTTACTGTTTGACTAATGAACTCTCCTTTCATGGTTTTTCTTCTCTCAGTTTCCGCTTCTTTACGCCGTCTCAGGTTTCCTGTGTAGCTCTACGATTGACCAAAAATCTGCTTGATATTTGAAGAGCAGCATTTGATGAAAGGCATTAGTGGGTCTGCATTATTGATGAATGGCGAGTGATGCATTAACTCATTAAATATGTATATGTACATTACATGAGAACGAACATGTCCCATAGCATGTCATATTGATTCTGGTGTGAGTTACGAGTCTCCTGCACGAGCCATATGAGAAAAACATTAAGAGATGACACACCAAATCGCTTAAGAGCTGTATTGACGGACTCTCCCTCCGGATGCATGGTCACAGTTGAGAAGTTGCAGAGTTTGAACTTCTCTGCTTCAACAGATCAAGGGTAGTGTCTGCACATGCAGCAGATTTTGTGCGGGAACAGGGTGTGTAAAGTAACGTGAGGAGAAACTAAGATGTGGTGCCAACTTACGCTGCTAAAGGAATGGTACCAGTGTTACTGAATTCCTTCCCTCATCTGGTTAGCTATCACTTTACATCTTCCACTGATAACTTTATTTTCCATCCATGGCTTCTTTACAAGCTGTACTGTCCTCGTCAGAACTGAAAATGACTTGCCTTGCATGCAGTGATGTAATAGCAAACAAAATGATAAGTAAACCATGCTAATGCTCAACTGGTTGGTGATCATCCAAGGCTAACAACCACAAGTGCAATCTAAAGTGAATTACTCAGCTCCAAAAAAAAACATTAATCTTCGCTTCCCTACCTTTAAAGATCATTTAGTTTACATCAGTTTGAAAGTAATTACTATGGTGGCCGCTCGCTGTGAATTTATATTATGCAATTCTTGTCAGCCTCATTGTCATTTCACAAATAAAAATGCAGGTTTGCTCTGCTTGCAGGTCTCAATGCCTCAAGAGTGACTCGATAACAATCTCCAGTGATTTACTTCTTTTCCACATTACAAACTGAACTTCGGGGGGGGGAAGCTTCATTTGGAAGTTCTTTTCACAATTAGTATTCATGGTCATGGCTGAAAATGAGTTTAAGTTAAATTGTTCCCAAGCCACCTCAAACTGCTGGCAGCTGTTGCTTTCCCAGGTGACTTGTTTCATCTATAAAGACATGTGAACCGCTATGTTAAGACATTTGAAATTTTACAAATTACCAATTAGGAATTACACGTTTCCAAATGTACTGGTGCTTAAATATGCAAATGAACTGGTGGCTAAGCATTCAAATGATCAAATACTGACATGTAAATGGCCGAAAACTTATGAAATTAAAGAGACAACTCTTGATAATTGTTGTAAGCTGATGAAGCCTTCTAATATTGAAGCAATATATATACATGGCAATATTTAAAAATTCTAACACCTCCACTGTTGAATCCACTGGACAATTGAATCCACTGGACAATTGAATACCACGCTAATATTTGATTTGATAAGGATCTAGAGGGTGCATTGTCCCAAAGATGATAAATGAAAAGTAAAAATGCTGCAGTGCATGCTGCAACATTGATATTTCCTTATTTTTGTGATGTTGACTCTGTTGTAGAACAACAAAAGCACCCTGTGGCAAATGCTTTCACATACACACACATGCACACAGACATAAACAGAAAAACATGCAGTCGCACACAGTAGCTCAGTGGGGGGAAGGTTTTAATAAACCCACAGTAACGTGGATCTATGGGGGCGTCTCGGGACCGAGCCAGGAAACCAGATGAACGTACCTGCCCGGGGGCACAGAGAGAAATAGCGAGGGTGGGGGTAGGGGGTGGGGGCAGTGAAGCCACAGGCACATTATGTCTCTCATTGCCCTGACTTTTTCTCTCTGTTGCCATCCGTCTCTTCACTCGCCCACTCCGTCTCTGCTCACATCGTCAGCCACACGAAAGCCATGCCCACAAACACTGATGTGTTTGTCAGAGAAAATGCCCAATCAGTTTAATAACATTTCATGCCATCTCTGCTTTCACCAAGGACTTGAAGTTTGTTCCTCGGTCGGCATTAAACGCAGACTGTAATTTCAGACAAACGCAATGGAAAATGCGGAGTGCAGCCAATCAGATTTAATCATGTATGAAGAAATATAATTTTGGAGGACACCAGGGCAGAGCGGGTTGATACGGGTATTAGTTACTATGCAAAAAGGCGTGTCCACACTCCCCGAATATGAATTTATGAAGCCTGCTTGTGATTTCAATCTGACTAATGTATCAGAACAAACCCATCTGTGCAGCACTGACCCCTGAGGTGAGGGTTTGGGGGGGCCGAGAGGGAAGTGCTGTGAGCGTGGGCGGCTGGTTTCTGCTCCCACCATGAACCAAGGTGGTCAGAGAGATGGGAAATGAAGTCTTTTACCCACATTTGTATAGCTTGAAGGAAAAACAACAGAGGAAGAAAGAAAGAGCATCTCTCTAGAACAAGTTCCATGGGAAAAATTTTATTTATCAATATGCGGTAGTTTCCAAACTGGTGGAACGTTATTTCCATTGTAGCTGGTGCCAATAGTTTACGCTGAGAAGCGGCGAAAAAGTGAATGGCAAAAAATGAAATAAAATATTGAAACTTGACAGTTATGATTCAAACAAAGGGAAACAAATTCAACAGGTTTTGCTTACACATGCACATTGAAAAATAATACTGTGGCTTTTAACAATAGCAGAAATCAACCTACAGTGAGGCTCATACCATGAGCGACATCCTTGTGCTAAATTAAGAAAGGAGGGGAGAGAGCAACTTTAAAACAAAGGACCGCCTGGGAGATAATGAGTGGTGTAAACCGGATGATTTATTGGTGAGCGCAGCATAGTCACACTCTTATACGTAGACCCTTTTGTCTTTTTTTCCTCCCTCTCTCTCTCTCTCTCCCCCCGTCTAGCCCAGTAGACTTATTAAAACTGGGAAAAGATTCATCTTTCTGGACCAAAATGTTTTTGTTACATCTTATAATAGAGTGGAAGGTGTAGGTAACTCAAAGGCAGTGGAATTACACAGTCTTCATATGCAGTGTTAAGTGCTGTTTCCAACAGGGAAAGCGCCTTATCATTCATAGTTTCAATGACCTATCCATTTCAAAGCCGCCTCTGTGACAAAGCTTCAGTCCTGAACAGTTTCTGAGCAACTAGAATCCTGCTGAATGGCGATGTAAAAACTCTGAGCCCCGTTTGTTTTTAACACGTGTGGTAACACTTTTTGACAATACCGGACGCTGCAAAAAAATGACAGCTCATGTGTTCATTGCAATATTCAATTTAACACTAAACAAAAAGAAAATAAAAACATATTGCAAACAAGAGACAAAAATGCAAGGATTCATACAAAACACACTTTAGAAAGACAGCTATTTACAAACATCCTCCATTACAAAAATCTAATCTTAAAGTTTTTCTTATGAGCAGTGTTCAGGTGAAATTACATCTTAAATTGGGCTCTATCCATATATTTACATGTCTCTCTCTTTTTCATTTTTTTTTATCCCCCAAAATTTGAATAACATTAAGTGGTCACTAGAATGAATAAAAATGAGATATGGTTTGTGGTAATTTGGTAATGACTCCCCAGGCTGGTGTAGGTGAATGGATGCGCACTGATCCGAAACAAAAATATTTGATCTAGATGTGTTTCACAGAGGGCCTCTGAGGGCTGCATGCTGAGTTAAAACACAGGACCACAAAAGTACGAGCAGCTGTTTAGGTTGTTAACTTTGAGGTTAACGACACACAAAAAGCCACTGGAGTCTTCCCCAAGTCTTCAAGCTGGGCTGCCTTTTAACTCAGCAGTGTATATCCGTGGATGGCAATAGTATGTGGCAGCGGGTAATAGGTGTCTCTGCCGGTGAATAAACATTAACTGGCAGTCTGACCGTTTGACTGGAAATAAACCTGGACCCGTCAGTCTTGGCGTGTCTGTGCGTGTGTGTGCACATGTGCGTCAAACGTCAGCTCGTGTCTGCGTGCTGAGGAATAGCTGTCCTTATCTGCTCCCCTCTCCTCTCACACATCATTAAACGGGACTGCGGCACTCCTTACTTTGGCAGCAACGCTGTTTGGAGCACCTAGTTCCAGTCCCAATAACAAGTCTGTTCAGCTGCTCGACCACAGAAGCATTCACAAACACACACACACAAACACATGCAGAAGAACTGCAAATATAAGCACAAATACGCACACTCACATATAGAAACACCTACATGTGCACACAGACAGAGTCAAACCCTGCACCCCCACCACCAAAAGTGAGCGTCAATGTGCACATGTGCACACATCCAGCTGCAGTAAATCCTGTCTCCGTGCTGCTGCCCTGGGCTGTGTGATAGCTGAGCTGCAGTGTCCTCGCTGGCTGAACACCTTGACTGTGGAATATTCTGCACAGCATTTTTATTCACAGCACAACTGGTGAGAGGATGGAAAAATTAATACTAAACTACCTTCACCCTCCACCCTCCACCTCACCCATCATCACCCCCCCCCCCCCCCCCCCCCTCACCCATCATCACCCCCCCCCCCCCCCACTCCATCCACACCACCATCTTCCTCTCAGGTTAAAGCCAAGTCGCAGGAACATTTTCTCCTTTATCCGCCACTCTCGCTCTCTCTCCTCCCCGGCTGGTGAGTGTGGGCACAGAGATGGCACATAGATTAGTCACACGCTGGCGACGCCACTCACTGCGCACTCCACTGACTCATCCACAGATGGCAGCCAATTGGCATCTGACAATACTGTATCCCAATGTTCAGCCGTAGCTCGCCATCCAACTTATATATAGGGCATCCTACCTATGTAGGCCAGCCAATCAGTGCCGACCATCCAAACTACGCCCACCTCGCCCAGGCAGCAGGCACCAAACTGACTGTTTGATGCTTACACCGTAGCACCAGACGCCACAACAAACAAATATCAACCTGCCTGCTGTCTTAAAAACCATCCCCCTGAAAACTCAGCAGACACATAAAACCTTCAATCAGTGCCAAATGGAGCAATGGAGGGGTTTTGTAAGATCTTGTCTGTCTGTCGGCTTGCCAGTCTGTCCGTCTTGTGTTTGAAGCTTGCAATACAGTAACGTGGTATTCTACCCCTAAGCCAAGAAGTCTGCCCAGATACAAGACTAGTTTGGACATGCCCATACGCACACACACACACACAAAGGACACACCCTCAAATGCACACAAGCAGGTCATAAATACCAGAGTAATGGTTAAGCTCATATCAGACCAGTGGAGAAGGAAGTATTCAGGAACACACACACATACACATACACACCTCAACATCAACAGTCCAGGTCAAGGTACTTTCTCAGGAAAAACATGAACGCAATGGATGAGTGAGAAGATGGAGTAATAACGATGATCTATTCAACTCTATACATTGTGCACTTGTAGGAAAAATCTAACAAAATACAACTGCTTTGTGAACTGAATCAGGGTTTGAGGAAATCCTCCATCAAAAATAGTAAGTAAGGCAAACATCAGAGGTGCGAAGGGAGAGGAACACATTATTTCACACACTGTGTCTGATACCTGAGCTATCTGGAGAGTTTCCTGGCCCAGCGTGGAGCCCTGACTAACACACAGAAACACAGAAACACACACACGTTTTATGCTTGCACACAAACTGCAGGCTGAGTGGCATCTGGGGCCTGTGTCTGCCTGTTCCTGGCTAGTGTGCTAGGATGGTGTGTTTAATTGGGTGTAGCTCAGACTGTACTTCAGGGAACTGAGATAAGTTACATCCTGCCCGTTAAAGGGGACAGCGAACCAGGAAGCTAAGAGTTCCATCTGTTGGTTCGCTCCAACCCCGCCCCCCTGTTGGACCACAGCAGGGAGATGTAGACAGTGGGAGGTGAGGGGAGGACGGGGGGAGGGTGGAGGGGGGCAGACAACCCAAACAAACAGAATAAACCTCTCTCATTAGTCAGCTCACAACCCCGCTGGTTATTGGTCAGTGCGTGTCTCTCCAGATTTGTGCAGCAGGTGGTAGAAATAACACGGGCTTGAAGAAGCATCAAGTCCCAAAAATGCAAAGGAAAGTGTTCTTCCCAAGAACTTAAATCAAGCGCTCCTCTCTCCTGACTGTGTCGCTGGCTGTGCGGAGCGTGTCAGACTTTGTAGTAGATGTTGGCAGGGCTCTGCGGCGGCATCTCCTGGACAATGTAGACAGGGTGGCCATAGTCGCCGCTCACCTTCTCATAGTGAGGGCAGTAGTTGTTCTCTGTCCGCAGCGGAATGATGATGTCACTGGGCTCCGTGCCAGCCGTGCCCCCGGGTAGCTTGGGATTGGACAGCGTGCTGAGTGACAGCGCTGAGGGGCGGGGCTGCGAGTGGGCGTTTTTCCTGGCGCGCTTGCGCATCTTGATGAGCAGGATGATGAGGAGAAGGATGAGCAGGAGGAAGATGATGCAGCCGGCCCCGATGGCAGAGAACACAGCCACTTTGGAGCTGAGGATACTGTCCGAGTTTGCAGAGGAACCAGACTGGTCCTGATTCATGTGGTCTAAAGAGAAAAATACAAAGGGAGGGGTTAAGGACTGTACAAAAATTATTATGGAGAGAGGCGGGGTGAGAACAGAGGGAGGACGTGGTCATTTTATTTTTGATGAAGGGAGGGCAGTTTTGTGGAGAAAGTATCTTTTATTTTTTTCTACATGTATGATTTATATTCTAAAAAAAGAGATCAAATGGTTACATCAAAAAGATGATTTTCATGGGCTCCATAAAGGTGCATTTTGCCACATGCAGATGTTATGACGTAGGGGTGAAAATATAGCATTACACAAGCCCTTCAGCACAGATATGTTGCCTGTTCCCGGTTTTACTCATTTGATTACTTTAATCATTATGATAAAGCCTCTATTTTGAGCATTTTGTTACATTTGCAATAATTACATTATTTTGTTATATTGGTAGGAGGATATTGTTTATTTACTAACAGAGAGGGAGGGTCTAAACATTAATAACACTGGGGAAGGTCTTGTGTAAATGTCAGCACCTCTCCCCACCCACAGAAGTTTCATACCGTCCCTTAGAGACTGCTGAACACTCAGAGACGTAATAACATTTACAGTAAGCCAATCCTGTCGTGCAGATCTTACAGTTCTGTGCCTGAATCAACTGTGATTACATCCCCGTCCCACTGATGTAATCTTATTGAATTAGCTCAATCAAAATAGCCTCCGAATGAAATCTGTAGTCATCACTCAACATAACAAAGATTCCCGCTCTGATAAGATTGAGCCCGGGCAAGTTGTATGACATGTCGAGGACACATTTGTATGGCAAAGGCCAAGTGAGAAATGAAAAAATGAGGAGGGCATATCGGAACATCTGATTTTATTTTATCCCTTTGTCTGAGGGGTTCGGGATGGTGGGGAGGACTGGGGGGTGTTACTAGATGAGAGAAAGAAAGACTGGCTGCTCCAGTGACTGAAATCGGAGAAGGACCAAATCTGTTTTCCATGTATGCATGCAGCTGTTGCCAAAGAGCAGCATTCACCTCCTCCCACTACCACCTCTTTACTGTCCATGACCCCCCCCCCCCCCCCCTACAGGCACACAAAAGCCTCATGCCTCCGGAGACTGCCATCCACACTAATGACTGTGTCTCCGCACCCGGCTGACCACTCTGCACTTAACCATTTATTGAGGAGGGGATAACTACGCCTTATCACGACTAAATGACATCACTGAAAGCTACCGTTTCCAGCTTTATCTGTGAAATCAGAGGCGCGAGGAATTTTGTCCATTCTGGGTGCTGGAGAGGGGCTGTCAGAAATTTCATTCCTGAAATATCAGCCCTTCAAACCACAGTGACACGTCCTTCATTCCACCCTCCACTCCTTCACTTGACATAATCACTGATCTAACAATGGTGGACAGGTAAAAGCCTGGGTATGGGGAAAAGTGACATTAGGAAATCTTTTTATAGAGCAACTAATGTCAAATAAGCAATTATTAAATGAGGACGGCTTATCACATTGGGACAGGCAGAACAGTCTGTACTTTGAGGAAGTTTGTGGCATCCAAAGTTGTGGAGTAAGTCAAAAAGTTGAGAAGTTGTCCCTCCTGTGGAAGCAGTTATGAAAGGTGCTGGTGAAAACAGGAAGTAAGGAGGGCCCAGAGCATCCAAGGAGGCTCGAGTGACTTCTTCAATTATCTCTGCTTTTCATCTTCATTTATCTGCAATTCTAATGAGGTTTAAAAGCTATAACGAAGTGGTCTGTCTTTGAGTCTCCTTGGGTGCAGCACACCCTTTGTGTATAGTATGAATAAGTAAAGTGACTCAGGGTGAGCTGTATTTGTTTTGGGTGGGGTTTCTTATTGTTTTATTGCAAGCTGCATTTTGGTGAGTATTACATTTATTATGTACAACATTGGTTTTACACCTTTTTTAGCATGTTGACCCCCAGAAATCAAAGGAAGGCCTGCAGCATGAAAAAGCCACATGAGAGAATACTTACTTTGGGAGACTCAACTATGATTTCTATTTTCTCTTCTCAGGCTAAATGTGATTAATTATTAGAGGAACCCTTGAGGCTGAGAATATATATATATTTTTTTTCATTTCAAAAATCTTTATTTTACTAAAATATTTGCACTCTAGAAACTAGAAAGCATTCTGTAAGGAGTCTGAAGCGGCTGCAGTTAATGGGTATAATGTTGTTCTGTCAATCTGCTCACCAGGGTTTCCTGGCATCTCTGGTCCAATCCGACCCTGGCCAGGCGGACTGGGGCTGGACTCCGGTATAGCGTTGTCTTCTGGAGCCTCCGGCGCCACAGGGTTCGCTGCGTTTGGGACTGTGGGAACCAAAAAACACACAGAAACTCAGCCTTGGCGAGCTGCATGTGCTGAATTACAATGAGTTGTTTCTCTGCATCGGCATGGGATTATTTTTTATTATCTTTTGATATATCTTTTATAGACATAGAAGGTTATCTTTGCATGTGTTGAAAGCATCTCAGAAGTGAAGATGAAAGCCCGAAAAGAGGAAGGACAAGTTAGCGAACGTCTGTGAAACACCCCAGTATCCCTGTCCTGTCGTAAAAAAAAAAAAAAAATGAGCTCACATCTATCTCAGCAGCTCCTTCAGCAAACACTCAGGCAGGCATTTCCAACACTGACACATTCATGAGAGCGTAGGACATGCATGCACACACATAAGCCCACACCAAGAACACTCTTACAATACACTTAGGCATGGCAGAATGAGGGTAAAGTAGTTATATATTAACTTTTTATTGTTTTACATTATTCATCACGTTAAAAGGCCATAATATGCCTTATTTATTGCACGGGCTTTAAATCTGGCTGAAAAGAGGCACACTTCTGAAGATGAGGGAAGAGGAGGACAGGAAGAGAAGTGGGGGGACAAGGAGAAGAGGAAAAGAGGTGAGGAGGGGGTTGCATAAGCTCTGAGGGGAACACAAAGGAAACAGACAGTTTATCTGTCTGTCTGTTATGATATGAGCACACGCACTTTGAAGTCTTTGTGCGGTAAACACTGGTGGGTCCGCAGCGTGGCTTTTACGAGGGCAGGGCCGGCAGACAGAAGACAGTTATACACTATTACCGAAGTAGATTCCACAGCACATTATCAGATGTCACTCCTCTATCAGACCTTATCTGCATCTGCCCAAAGGCCTGCTCAAGGGGTGTGTGTGAGAAATAGAAAGGAGGGCGCGTGTCGGGAGGCAATTTACATTCGAGTCTCTCGTGGCAAGTTTGTGTGGAGTGTGTGTGGCCGTGCGTGGCTGTGTGCGACAGTCGAGCAGTCTATTTTCTATTTCCACCTCCAGTTTGGTCGAGACTCGCGCAGGGAAATGATTTGGGTGTGGGATGTCTGGAAGATGTGAATGATAGAAAACAGAGAAAAAAAGGGAGGAAATATGGAAAGAGAAAAGACAAAGAGGGACATAAATTCACGGGCAACATCCACTCTTTCTTTTTTTTTTAGCATTTGGCAAACAAAACCACACAATTAAACACATTTTTCTCCTCTCCTCCTCTATCTTCTCCATGTCCAGACCACCGCATTGCTCCATACTGATTGCAGCAGTGGTGAACCTAGCCGTGAGCTGTTGTGCACCATCAATAATTGATGAGAAAAGACAGGAGTGAGAAGTGGGAACATTCATGTATGGCAGAGGATATGAGAGGACACAGTGATCTGATTCTCTCCGTGCATATTGCCCCAACACTGTGTGTCACTGAGCATGTGTGTGGAGCGTTCTAATGTTCTGACCCATTTTTCTGTGTGTACTGCTGACATTTCCCTTAGCTATGCAGACAGCAACTACCTCAGAACTGCCAACCAGCCAGAAGGAGGGAGAAGGCGGGGGGAAGAGGAGGAGTGAGAGTGAGGGAGACAATGATCGAGCGACAGAAGAGAGATACGGATATCTTGGGAGAGGTAGAGAGACAGAAAATGGGGGGGTGCTTGCAAGGCGGTGAGTCAACATATTTCCAATGAGCACCGTGACATGATGTGGTGGAGGAGAAAGGGAGAGCTGATTTGCGATCGACGTATAAAATATGGGCTCCCCCGTATTTCCGCTTCAATCAATTTCGCTTCCTCTTTACTTCACATTTTATGTAAAGACAAAAGACGGAACACGAGGCATTTAAAGTACAATATTGACGTGTCAAGGCGCATCATTTCCAGCAAACAGATGAGTTAATGTGATTATGCCTGGGAGTGTCTCTACAATAAAAAGCACAGTAAGATTAAAAGAATGTGCACATATTACACCCTGGCATGAGTCACCAAAATATAAGTCACAGAGCAAAGTGCAAAAGAGCACGAGTGGACGATCTTTGGGACTTGGCCACAGGAAGTGTTGCCATTCAGCTGCTGAGATGGAGGAAATGTGGCTTAAACACAGTAGCATCTGGAGTCAGATTTTTCATGTGGCTACAGAAGGTAGAGTTTAGGACTGTTTTCATTATTCATTCATTTTTGAGGGATTTTTTTCAATTCACTGATTCATCTTTTAAGCCTATAAAATAGTAAAACTACTTGTTTTAACTGACCAACAGTCCACAAGCCAAACATATTACATTTATGATTTAATAAAAAAAAAAATTTTTTTAAACAGCAAATTGACACATTTCAGAAGCTTGAACCACCAAATGTTTGGAACTTCTTGTACATGTCATGTATCGTCATGTACAACTATTGATACATGTAATAGTATCAGTCATCAATTAATCAATGAATGCTGATCAGTGCTATCAACCCTTTAGTTGATTCATCAATCCTTTTAGCAGAAGTGGCATTGAAAATATAAATTTTTTAAGGTAGCCAATTGTTTTGCTTCTAAGGCAGCTGAAAATATTTGTTGATTAATAATGAATTGATGCTTTTCTGTATCGTATATGATGGTAAACTGAATATCTTTGTCAAATTTTCAGACAGCAGTGGTAGACGAAGTATCAAGTGGCAATACCACACAGTGAAAATACTCCTGCATTTAATATGTAAGTATAAGTATTATCAGCAAAATCTACTTTAAGTTTCCAAAGTGAAAGTACTTAATTGCATGTAAAATATGAAATGTCTAGTATCAATAAATATCTATGGAAATACTCAAGTAAAGTACAAGTATCTCAAAATTGTACGGCAATACAGTACTTGAGTAAACGTACTTGATTACATCCCACCACTGCTGAATGAAACAAGCAATTTAAACACATTATCCTGGGCTCTGGGAAACTACACTGGTCATATTCAGTATTTTCTAACATGTTATATACAACACAATTCATCGATTAATCATTAAAGCAATGAGCAGATTTATCAATAATGAAAAGAATCATTAGTTTCAACCCTAATGGTAGCTTCTTTGATTTTCATCAAAGTTTCTGTCGACGCTCTAATTTCTCACGGCCTTTCCTCTAATAGTTCCTGGGTTGGATTGACACATTATGCATCAAAAATTCCACTCACAGAAATAGAGTTAAAAGTAGTAGCAGCTGGGCCAACGGCATCTTTTCTAACAAGGTTTTTAGGGCACATCGATTGTGAGTGACAGCTCGCTTCGGACCGTTTTGGGAAATGAGCGCACGGCTCTGGCGAAGTTGAGGAACAGCCGGCAGCCACATACTCGAGCTGAGAGGAACTTTCCTAGAACTAAGACATTTTCTTTCAACTTCCATTAATCTGACTGCAGGAATTTGTTTTGCTCACTGTAACTAGTTTAGTGTAAAAGCCTGTGTTGCCTGTACTTATGCAGCCGGGTTGTCATTTGGTGATGGTGCTGCAATCTCTGGCTGTCGAATGTTCAAATTGACCTACGTGGAAAGATAATGCAATGCCTGTCTATTTCCAAGATGGTTGTGGGTATTTTTCACTGTATCCGCTGAATTTGTTCCGACTCAGACCCTGCTAGCATCAGCAGCTTGTTAGCTTCTCTTCTCCTACCGACTGCCAGGATACACGGCTGTCATCCCACTAGCCAACATTCAAATATCTGCACACAAGTTTGCAGAGACACACACTCTGCAGATTTCTCAGCGAGTCTCAGTTTATTTTTGACATGTTGAGATTCAGCTTTTAAGCTGGAATCAGATCATCGTGGCAGGCAGATGTTCCTCTCAGATGGTGGTTAGTGTCTGTTTCGGTCAAAACAACCACACTGAAGATGGGGGGAATGTTTACAGAGCAACACATCTGTGTACTGTACACTGTCAAATTCAGGATATGGATGTCCACATACTGAGTAAAACTGCGTCTAAAAGTTAAATGTATGATGCAAACCAAATGTTGAGTCCAAGGATATCTAAACAAAGCTCAGTTGTTTACTTCCAGCATTTTTAGTTGACTTACCCTGACCGTGCACTTACATACCAATTTCATAAAACACATTTTCAATCTGGGATTACTGTATAAGAATCACATTGAGATGCAGCTGAGGCCTTTTTACAATTTGGAAGTAGAGTCAAACTTCATATGGCAATTTATTATTTGGTTGGTATTTCTTAGTGATCTCACTATTTGCACAAACTGTTTGTTATATAAAAATATTTATTCAAAACCACTGTATATGACTAATTGAGGTGGATGTATTACAGTATATGTAATTTCAAAGCATGATATCATTATATGTGATGATTTTACTGGAATTTCAATAGAGAAAACGATTACAGACAAAGTAACCAGATGGGAATGTTCTTTTGTGGCAGACCTATACCTAACTAAATACCTAACAAATCAGGGTACTTCATCACAGTGAAGCAAAAATCCTGTAAATCCAATACTGCAGTCCATAAAGCAGTCCTACTCACTGATTTGCAACATTGCCCGCAATGGCCTAATACAGCCTGAGATATTAAAGCAACAGTTACCTCAGTATAATGTATGGCAAAATCTTTGGCAGTAGACAAATCTCTATTGTCTTTCAGTTTATATATATATTTCACCATTTCGCCCAACCATATGGACGAATATAATAACTGCTGACTTCAAAGTGATATTTAAAACTTGAATATTATATTTATTATTATTTTATTATTCAGCTGAGAGTTACATTTGAGACAATGTTTTTTGCTAACAATTTGTTTTAACCCACCCATTTAGCATTTATAAACAGCATATAAACAATAATAAATGTTTATTAAATGTATTTGTGAACAACTATGACTAAGGACAGGCTGACCCATGTCCCATGGTACTTTTATTATTTTTATTCATAAATCCATGAAGGCCACAAGATGAAAGATCAGAATGAAATCTACTAAATTAACCTTGAGTTAAGAGTTTTTTTGTAAAACTGCCTGGGAATGATTTGTGCATGTTCATTATTAACAGCTAATAAATGTTTTATAACACTGTTGGGATTTGTTTATGTGTGCAGCTATGTTATTCTGTGTTATCAATCATTCATTAACTATTCATAAACCAGTAATGGATGGGTTGAAGAAGATGTTATGATTGTTAAAACATTTTATATGTCCTTATACCTCCTTACAACTACATTATAGTATGTTATAAACTATTTAGTGTTTTTATACTGCGTATTAATGCTCTTTAATAATTTCTTTTAAATAAAGAAGCAATAGATGACTTTATTGTGTCTATATTGTGTTTTTACCTGTAAAATCAAACATTGCATTATGTCAAGTGTGTATTTACTATATTTTTCAATGGCTGTTAAAGGCTAAGTTCTATATCTTTCAACCTGGATTCTATTTCCCCATGTTTTTGTGTGTAGGTGACTAATAGGGACAGCATTTTTGTCCCATTCAGGGAGGTAAAATCAAGTTTTTTGTCAAGGGAGTCTGGTGGCTCTGACAAGAGTCATATGTCGACTGCTTCTGGTTAAACAAAAAGGCTTTTACTCTTTAAAAATGGTCTATCTCGATAGAAATCCTTTCCATAATGCTGTCAGACACTTTGAGCCAATCAGTGGCAAAAACTAGCAATTTAGTGGACATACTTTTTACAGGCCGCAATTGCGCCCAACAATTAGGTTGCAGCTAGGGCTGGACGATATGGCCAAAAATGTTATCACGATAAAAAGTTTCATATCTTTCGATATCGATAATTATCACGATAAGTATCAAATCGTTATTTCTTTTGAGTTTAAAGGCTGATTTTTGCTACTGAGGGAAAGTTGAAGAAACCTGATGGTTAATTGTGGTTAAAACTCGTTTTTATGGTCAACACTTGATGCCAAACAGTGGATCACAAATCTGAGGTAGAACATTCAAAACAATTATGATAAAATCTTTTTCAACACATATGCATGAGTAAAATTAAGTAAATGCTTTTTTTCAGTCCTTTTTCCTCAACAAAATAACCATCTTAATAAAAAATTAAGTCCTAATTTGTGTATGATTCAAATGAATAAAATCAAACATTTATTGAATATTTATTGAACATTTGTTATATTGTTATTGAAAAAAATTATATTGCGATAATTATTGTTAT